GGTCTATGGGACAAATATGTGTATATTAGAATTCATTAAAGAGAGGTGTGAGTTTCTTCATGTTTTTTTTATCCCTTTGTCTGTGGCCTTGTTCCTGAGAGCTGTGATCAAACATTGTTCAGCACATTCCCATTACAGCATGTGTAAAACATCAGAAGAAACACGTCCACATCAAACATGAAGGCCAAGATATTTTCATCTATTGTCTACCGAAGAAAAAAAAGCCAACATCTAAAGCGAGAATAAACGGAAGGAGGGCTTTTGTTGTGGTTATCCTCCTGGTGGTTAAAAGGAAGGTGCTGGAATCACTATGGGACGAATCTGATGTTATTTCAGTCAGAAAAGACATCTGTTGTGCAGTAAGTCACATCTGCATTAATGTCTCTGGTGCAGATGCTTCCCAGTATGGTGATTTATTTGTCCCGTATGGTGGCTGTTTGGGTCGGAGCAGTTCTGTATGATGTTGCTGGCACAGTTGACAGGGAGCTGTGGGAGCGCTGGCCTCCAAGAAACACTTTCTGTTCATTTTGGGAGCTGTTGTATTTGGCTCAGTTAAGAAGAAATGCTGTGTTGGAACAACTCGGAAGAAGCGAAACTGCAGCTTTAAGAAAAGGTTACAGTGAATTAATCTGCCCTAAGATTCTTCTGTTTTGCAATCTTTAGCTCTAAAAACCCATCCAGAGGTAGACCTTGCTGACAGAACACTGACATCCTAAGTCCTGCAAGCAGGCTGCAGTGTTATAAATTATATTCTACAGTCTAACCCTGCTTATTGAAACAAATAAGTGGATTGCAGGATTTCGCTTAAAAACCTTTTCATGAAAGAAAGATTTGTTCCCTTTAGTCCCACACAAAGGCGCACCCTCTTAATACTTACAGTGCCTTGCGAAAGTATTCAGCCCCCTTGAACTTTGCGCCCAATTTTTCAGTTTTTTATTTGTTAAAAAAGTTTGAAATATCCAATAAATTTCGTTCCACTTCATGATTGTGTCCCACTTGTTGTTGATTCTTCACAAAAAATTACAGTTTTATATCTTTATGTTTGAAGCCTGAAATGTGGCAAAAGGTCGCAAAGTTCAAGGGGGCCGAATACTTTCGCAAGGCACTGTATATATGAATGTGATGTACTGTATAGACAGGCTACTCCTGCTCTTTCCTGTTTATTATTTTTGGACATTGTGGATGAAATCAACATAACTTTCTTAAAAGGAACAGCAGCCAAAGAACAGCAACAGTTAGTTACATAGCTCTATTTATTTAAAGTAGTATTCAATGGCAGATGGTGATGAATCAGTTGTATGATAAAATAAAGCACCATTTTGCACAAAAACATGATGAAAGCAGACGGAAAACAGACATCATCTGCTCCTTTTCTCAGTTATCTGTCACAGTCTGTCATGATTTAGTAAAGCTCAACTATCTTCAGTTAAGATTTAAAAAAGGATGCTGGGAGCCAAACAACAGATGTCTAGTCAGCTCCATAGGTGGCCACATGAGACCCTTAGAACCCAAATGAAAAACAAATCTCACAATAACATCGACTGGAAAACAGTGGAGATCAGAGAGAGCGTAACAGTCCCCATCAGGGATGTTTGGGGATGCAATATGGAGCTGCTGAAGGTGTGGCCCCACAGGTCAAGCCACTGCTTTCCTCTGTACTCCTCTGAGACGGGCCCCATGTCTCTTACAACAGGAAGAGACTGAAGGTCAGATCACAGACCTACTGTCTTCCTGCCTGTGTGACAGATGCCTGTCTATCTTACTTTACTATCACTGTCTAAAATGTGTATACACACCTCAACGTTTATGAAAAAGAGAATGTGGGGCAAGGAGATGGATTAAAATATGTGTAACTGTGTGACTCGATGATGATGAAACAACATAGAAATAGAGACAGATGACAGTTCAGCAATTGTACATTCAAATAGGAACATATGTGACTGAAAACCAGCAGGGTTTGGTGGCACACAGTTAGACAAGCAGCCAGATCTACAGCCCTGGAGTCACTCCTCAGTCCATTATCTTGCCCCATAAAGCCCTCAGCAGTACAACTTCATAGGCAGTTCACTGACATGAAAGGCACACGTGGCCTCCTGGATAAGATAAACTGCAGAAAATAAATATACATTAAACCGAAACCTCTTTTAGCTTCTTTGGCCAAACAATTCAAACATCTATTTTAGCAGATAAGGTTGCACAGACAGACCCCCCCACCCTGGAGACACACACTCGTCCCTTTGTGCTCTGATAAAGGAGACCGGTGGATGCATGTAATCAGCATATTATTGATAGCCTTAATGAGAAAGGCTCTGAGTCACTGAAGCCATTAGCCAGGATAAAAGAGTCTTAATTGTTTTGTGTGTGCATGGGGGTGCATGTGTGTGTGTGTGTGTGCTTTATAGTGTGCACATGTCTCGGCTAAGACCAGGCTAATCAAATCCATTTCCTTCATTAGCAACTTTTCCCCCTCTCTTAATTAAGAGGGTTAATTATGGGTCTGGACAGAGGTTGTGTACATGTTTGGGTGCATTTCCCAGACCAGTCCCAGATGTAATATTGCAGTCTGTATCAGAGGCGTGTAACGACACAATGAGTATTCAAGGTTTAAATTAAACAGTCTTTGATATTTATTTAAATTCAAAGGAGCGAATATTTTAAGTCAGATTGTATCTTTAGTAAATGATAGAGATGTCTTCCTTGAATATTAAAGGCCCAGAGTAATAACACAGGCCCATCTCTTTTTAATGGTCCCCTGTGGGTGTCTGTGCTAAAAACAAGCACATAAATCCACTCTCCAGTTGAAAATAACTGCTGTTTTCTTGTCTTAAGGAGGAATCCATATTTTGTGGTTTCTTGTCAAGAGCATCAAACAACAGGTTTAGTGTTAATACCAACTTCTGTCATCACCGCCGGTGTGTAGTGCGAGTGGACGTTTGCAGCATACCAATGGTGTAGAACAATATTCCCCAGCACATCTACAGCAATAATATTGCTATGGCTGGCAGACATGAGAGGACTCTCCCTGACTGTCACTGGACACACACCATTACTTTTGATGGTCCATAGGTTGTGTGCATGTGTGTGTGTGGACAAGAGAAGGAACGCATGTGTGTGTGCACACGTACATTCAGGGTCACACATCCTCTCAAGGAAAATGGCTGATTCAGGGCTCTGCTATTTTGTCAACTTGGGTCTGTGCCACCATAACCGTTAGACATCTGCGGGTGGGAGACCATCTCAGCCATGATGATGATCTTCTGCAGCTATGACAAGACATTAACATCTTTTACAGTCTGCTGGCTTCTCTTATAGCTCCAGGCAAGTTTTGCATAAAAAAGACAAAATGCCTGCATCTTTGTTTTGCTTTTATTACCTGCTATTTTAATGTTTTGGTTCAGTCTCACCACTGTTAGCAATTTTGCAGCTGTTTCCATTGAAAAAAGTCTGATAATCTTGCTGTACACTACCTGCCCATTACTAAACAGCTAAAGTTAACAATTATCTGGTAAACATAGAGCATTTAGCAAGTGAAAAGCCACTTATTTCCCTCAGGAATTGCTGGAGTACAACCAGAGCTAAATGGAGTGTGAATATTGGGCTTTGATTTGTCAGATGGTCATAAAAATGACTACCAATGAATGGCAATTTGCTCTGTCTGCTGGATGTATAAATAGGATGTTTGCCCTATTAACTATGTAATGTGACAATAAATCGATGTTGGCCAAAAATCAATTCATGCTACTTTAAACCGTCTAAAATGTTGATTAGTGTATGAGGCAGGAGGAGGAGAGAAGTCCTCACAATGCAAGAGGAAGCCATTTGGGCAGCACCTAGTGGCCTATCACTTCTTGTTCTCTCATTTTCTATCTGAAAATCACAAGATGCTACCCACACATCCTCAGTGTTTCTTTTTAGGGAGATGCTTCTAGCTATGTGTTTTTCATTGTGCATACTTGTTGTTGCCATCCATTCTGTGGTGTATCATTAGCCATGGCTTTTTATTAGCCTCTGGTGTGTAGGAGATGGGAGGGGGTCAACAGCGCTCTAGCAGTAAACTAGCACAACCACCGTCAGCCCTGCACATGGGAACAAACACCCCATTAAACCAAGGCCTTCACATATTACTGTAATAAAAACCCCTGCTTTTGCCTTTATGGGCTTTTTAATTATGTCTATTTGTCTTCCCGGGCTTGTGAGCAACAGTTCATGATGAGCCCCATTTCATGAATACTCTGCCACTGGCAGAAAGCTGGAAGGGTTGAATTAAAAGAAAACGCTGAAAATGGCCTGAAGCTAAAATATGACCATTGTTACTGGAATGGTACTTTGTTTTACTTTGCATTGCAGAGCCACTGGCGCTGCTTTTCTTTAAGGGCTTTCTTTGTTTGATATGTGGATTAGTATAAGGATGGAAAAAGCTCATGCTGCTCAAGTGAATTACATGGCAGCTCGGTAATAATGGCGTGTATTATCTCCCAGACATCAGGGCAATGGCTGGACTCGTTAAAACTGAACTATAGAAATTATCTATGAATGAATTCAGCTAACGGCCTGCACTTTGGGTCAGTTTATGCCTTGCACAGTACAATGTTTAGCCAGCCCACCTGGGGCCCCTTTATAGTGCGTTTTTTTTTTCGGACACACCCCTGCACATTTAACAAGTCATCCTCAGTAAGGTATTTTTGCATTATTTAAAAAAAGTATAAACCCCAGCTGGTTTTCAGGCATGCTGATTGATAGAGCAATATACACAGTGCCTCATTGTGTGCACCCTATATTTTATAGCCAGGATATTTTCTACAAGGCTGGACACGACAGCTTAAACCCTTTAAACACCTGCAGAGATCTGCTGTATGTTACTCTAGAACCAATACTCAGTGGTTGAGAAGCACGTCTGCTGAGCTTGTACTCATTTCTTGAGTTGGTCGCCCTCGCTTTTTAACTATGGAGAAAAGAAATGCTCTGCTCAAAAAGACACATGTCACAAATTTTTTATTTTTTTTTTTAAATCATCTTAAATTAAGTACACGCTGTGTATCCAACGCGTTTGCTCCGTCTGCTGCAAATGGTACACATAAAAACTAGCAACACCACAGCCAGCGCGGCAACCACTCCACACAGCAGGGCCGTCGAGGGATAGGAAGCTGAGGAGAGCAGAAGACAGTTCTGCTGGTTAAACGATTTGGTAATTAAGAGATTGCAACAGAAAGGTGTGAAACAAACCAGTGGCATCTTACTCGCTTGTATCTGGAGCAGAGAGACTGGCTCCTGAGGAAGCTCAGAAAGCTCTGCTTGCAGGACGCTCCCCTCCAGCAGGATGGGGCCCAGAGCAGCCATTCCCTCCCACTGCTGAGCTGGAGGAAGACCTTCAGGTGCAATAAGAGGGAAGTTGAAGAAGAAATCTTCTTGGTACATTTGCCCAGCTTAGTCAACCGTTCAAGACAACTGATTGGTTGGACAATTACAGGAATAAACTCAAAACCAATCCTATGAAGGTGCATAAACAGCATGTGTGCCAAATGAAATAAAAGCAAACGAGCTTGTCTAAACATGGATAGAACCTCTGCTTGTCTATTAGTCTGTGGCTGAGATTTCACTCTGGGCTGCTAGAAACCATTTGGGTTCACCTCAACACAGCTGGTGAGGTTTTCCAGATTAGGACCATTCAGATAGTGTCAAACCTGTGAGACATGACCTAACAATTACAAAGTGTTAATGATATAAAATAGCTGTGTGACCGCAGTACAAAATTAATACTGCTAAATGTATAAGGGAGATTTATAAAAATAATTTTAAAAAAAAAGTCCCCCAGGTTAGCATCAAATGCTCAGCAAAATGTAACGGTGCTTCTGTAAACTGTACCTGCATCTGTTGCAAGGCTTCGTTTCCTCCTCTCCTCACTGCAGCTGGTGTCACAGCAACCACACACCTTGTTGTCGCCACCTGATGCTACCCATCTGCCCAGAGCCAAAAATGGATTCTGTTAGTATAAAGGCTGAGTAACACACACAAACATTTGAAGAATGAGCCATGTTTGCACCAACCTGTTGATTTCAGTCAAGTAAGAACACGCTTTGTGTTGCGGGCTAATGGGAGTGGAGATTGTTGTTGCTTTCAGATGACATGTAATGTAGAGCTGCGAGGAAGTGAGTGGAAGAGTGGTGACAAATTAGAAAACCCAACATGAAGCGTCTTAGTGCTGGTCCACCAGAACAGCTTCAGTGATTCTCCAGGTCTCTGGACCCTACTGGAGAGGATGAAGACTGCTTCCTATTACTCCAAGGCTAATTTATAAGATCTGCTGCTGAAAATCAAGACACGTTTTGTATTGTACAATAGCTGAGCATAAAACCATCTAAATAAAGGCAATTAAAATATACTGACCATTTGTATAGAGTTGAATTTAAAATGATTAGAGATGTCACACCAATGTTAGATGTATCAAAGCGTTTGAGCTTACACATTAATGGCACAGACCCACTCTTCAGTGTATTATAATAAATTTAACCTGAGAAAACATTCATTTCCTCTACTGGAAAGCATTAGAATTAAGCACATAGCTTTTGAGGACATTATAGCCATCAAACAACATGGTCCCATGTATACATTATGCACCACCTTATGCACTTAAGACACCAACTGCATATCAGAAGAAAATGATCACTGAAAAAGAGGACTCACTGCATCTTTAGATTTACACAAATTATGATAGTATATGCAATGCAATTCATTCATACTTCCTCTGTTAACATAATTCAAATGAATTAACCCCTAAAGAAAATTATGTTGGTTTTACACATTATCACTGTGTGGGACCGATGTACACATTACAATCAAGTAAATCCAACAAATCTTTTTTTTTTCCAGTGTAACACTTTGCCTCTCTGCAGTGACAGGATTGTTGGCAGAGAAAGTAGAGGAAAGTGTAGAGAAGAAACATTACCTGAAAAGTCAAATGTGCCAACTACAATAGGTGATCAGTCTTTAAAGTAAACATCGCTAGCTGTACTTACTGAATTCCTGGGATCTCTGTGGAACCTGAATGCTTTGAGCTGGAAATAAAGTTTATCCTCCTGGGTCCTCTCCATGAAGTAAGACTTGGCTCCTGTCAGCTTAGCATCAGTTAAACACCTTATATAGCACAAAACAGGCACACAACCCATATTCATTAGCACAGGATAAACCTCATTCAGGTCAATAAATGCAACTAATAGTTTGCCATGAAACTGTATTTTACAAACAAATACAGCCATTTGAATGTTGATATTTTGTGGCTTTTTCCAGCCCATTCAAATCCACTGTGCAGCCTTTCCACAGGATCTCACCCATGGTTATTGATGAAGGGGTATCTGGGTTGAGAATCGGGGTTGGGGTTCACCGTGGCCACACAGCTGTCCACATAGACCCTCAGTGGAACATGGTGTCCCTGGAGGACCGAGGCCTCAATGTGTATCATATCACTCAGGGAGTAAACATTGGAATGCCTCTGTGAGTGCCAGTCCTCTAATCAAATACAGAAGAAAATCAGGATCAGAATCAGCTTTACTGGCTAGGTGTGCTGGACATGAGGAATTTGATGCTCGCACAGTGGCTCTCAGCGTGCATGTAAACAAGAAAGAACATTTAAAAAATAAAAAAAGGGGCAAACAAAAAGGAATGTGCATTAGGGAAATAAAAACGCATACATAGATTCAGCTTTTCAGATATATACAAGGGTATATTTACAAGGCATAAAAGTAATGCTGGGGCCATCAATCTGATTAGATGGAATTTAAAATGATTCCCATGAAGGAGAGTGGGTCAGTGCAACAGCAATAAATCACAAGTTATGTCCTCAGGTCCTGTTAGAAAATAATTTGGTGCAGTCACTATCTGCAGCTTGAGATGAATTAGAAAACATAATCAGCTGTGTATTGATTACTGCATTGTGCAAGTGACCCTGTTGGGTCAGCTGCAGCCTACAAGGCATGTAATTTCAGCTAATCACCATGCATCTAAAGTTTCCCTCCTGTTTATCAAGTCACTGTTTAGCCCTAAAGCCCTAAGTGATTGCAGTTACGCCAGAGAAATTATCCAAACCACCAGCAGCAAATCAAAGTCCCCAACAAAGTCAGTTTTAAGTTTGTCTCTTTTTTTTTCCCTTTTAAAATGGTGTCCCCACCTGTCATGAGATGCAGGGAGAAGTGCAGCTGCTGTTCTGATAGCATGTTCGAGGTAAACAGCTTCCAGGTAGGCCTCATGGCATGGCTGCTCACGTATTGCCGTCTGTGAGGACATCACAAAAAAGACGAGCGCATCAAGAAAAAAATAAAATAAAAATCTCTCACTCACAAGGAAAGACAGGAGTAGAGAGGGAACAGGTAGAGGAAAACAACAAGAATAGGGTTTCTGCAGGGTTCAAGACTTTAGTGTCACAGTGCAGTTTATAGGTATGACCATTGAACAAGTTTTAATGAGAAAATCTGTTCGCATATAAACATTAAAATTAAATATTTTTATATAGCCTTGAGGGCCTCTGTTAAGGAAGCTGAATTAAAACTTGGGGATACCATGAATTTGTGCTAACTGCATTACTAGACAAATAATGAGGCTTTTACCTTTGATAGTGACATTCAATTAGCACCTCAGCAGGGTTGGTCTTTAAAATGAAGGTGTTGCCAATGGGTGTTGGCAAGTACATCAGAGAAAAGGTGTAGATGAGAGCTTCTTCAGTCATCTAGAGAGAGCATGAAATGGTTAGAGCAACTTCAAAGACAAGATGGACTAGGGGAATCATGAACCCACATACTGTCCTTGCACTGCCACAGCTCTCCAACTTCGTCTGGAAATGCAGGATGTGGTCAGTGGTGTTTAGTGCAGCGCACCCTCCTAAGGTCAGATCACCTGGTTGGATCAACTGACCATTTCCTGAGAACAAAGAGAAAAAGGCACAGCTTCAATCAAGACCATTACCTGAAGCCATTTCTTTTCTCGGTCCAGTCAATGACACTCGCAGCAAGTGGACTTTCAGCCACCGGCTAAACAAAAGGGCTCCTAATGCATTGCTGTAAAGTCAGCACTTGTGCACCTAGAGCGCTCCTCCTTAGAGTGCAGAAATAAGAGGAAACATAATATTGATCCCTGAGTCCACACTTTGTGCCATTTGCAGTAATCAGCACTGAGTGTCCCCTCTACACTGCTCCATTCAATTTTCCAATTCGGGCTTCTAACCCGACCCTTTGTTTTTCAGACAGAGCAAAAAGGCATGTTACTGTAAATGGACATCTGGCAGTGCCAACCCATAGTCGATCAATTAAAACTATTTACCAGCTGCCATTACCTAGAAAGTTCTGTTTGACCTTGATGGTGACCTCTCCTTCACCGCAGTGCGCTGCCACACTGTCAGCGGCCACCGGCACCCGCTGTTCAAACTTCACCAGCACCTACAGTATCATTAAAAACCGACTTACATTCAACTTGTATATTGTGCATGGATGAAAAAAAGCTGCTGAAGATAAAATATTTTTAAAGTACCTTTGATTCCTGTTTGACACGCGAGTCCAGATCCAGACCTTGGATCTTGGACCTTGGAACTGGCAACTTTAACAACTCAGCGTGGACAGCTTCCTCTGACTCATGCTGCTCTGAGGTCAGCTTTCTGGCCTCCAAGCTCATCAGACTTTGAATAGTTTGCATCTGCTGGAGCGCTTTCTGATTGTTGGCAGTAGGGCTCCTGAGCTGGTTGCTCCTGAGCTGGACACTGACAGGAGAACGGACCAGATCCTGTTGCTTGGTCCGGTTTGACTGATCACCTGCTGTCTGTGGCGATCCCAGCAGCTGGAAGCTTGTTGTCATTTGTTCATGTGGGATTTGGTTCAGAACCTCATTGCTGCCAAGATTAAACCAGGTCTGTGTGGCAGCACAGAGATTTCCACATAAGAAGAGAAGCACAACACCTAACAAAGCCATTGCTCTGAACCCCGTTACAACCTTTTTTTTTTTTTTTTTTTTTTTTTTTTTTTTTGTCCCCCACAAAGACCTGAGTTTCTGGTGTTATCAGAGCACTGCTGCTTTTGACTGAAACAGAAGTATGGAAACTGGGTGGTTACACCCACTCCTAATGACTTGATTGGATTCCAGCCCGGGTGACTCCATCTGTACAGCTCTTTTGTCCCATTCCTCCATTTCACAAACAGAACTGCAGATTATATGATGGCTGTTTATCTGTGCACTCCAAAGGTCAAATTCACAACCTGTTTAGTCAGCTTTATGCCAAAGACTCACCAAAAAAGAAACTATTTTAATTTAAAAACGATTTCAAACATGTAAAAAATGTAAAAAGCAAAGACATTATCCATGCTGTTCTAAAAGTAATACAGCTGTCTGCCAAATCTGCACTTGTCATGATGGTAATGAACAAAGATTTTTATAAAGAGAAACAAACCTGACCCCAGCAGTAAGAGGCTTTCACTGCCCTCATGAGGCTAATCAATCAACATTCTCAGGGAGTTTGAATGCCACGCTTTCCGTACGGCACTGTCTTGAATGTCAAGGCGATGTGGTCAACAGTCTGCAGAGCCGCTCATAAAACTGAGATTTATGATCATCCTCTGGGAGACTTCACAAATGTCAGTGTATGTGTATGTGTAACCTGTAAAAAGAAGCAATGGGTGTGTCCTGAACTTGCAGCCATGTTAGTCACACAGTTGGGTATAAGAGCCCGAATGCTTTTTTTTTTTTATTCCACCCATGAAAAGACCTACCTGTGTGAATTTGTCAGGCACTGTTTTCAGTGGCCACATTAATACATATTTGGTGCTTGTGAGTGTTTACAGCAGCACAATGTGGGATTGACTCAAAGCGATCTACAGTATGACCCTATGTTCACGGTCATGAAGGAGCATGTGATTTGGGGTTGCTCTGGGGGACCCTAAGGAGTGAACAGCACTCCCTTTTCACTTCCTTTTCAACCTCTTAGACAAGCTCCCTCGCGAGGGTCTGGGAGCACTATGCAACAAGTCAGGCCTCTCCTGTCAGGGTCACAGGCTGATCCAGAGCTGATCCAGAGTTCTGGCACTTCAGAGAGGAAACATCATACTCCCTGTCTTCATAATTTATTTGCTGGTCTAAATCCCAACACCCCCATTTGCTCCCACGCCCACCTTCACTGATTTAATTTAGTTTTATTTTATTACTCCCTCCTCCATTACTTATTTAAAATATATATACTAAACTGCATAGCGTTGTATACACCCACACTGCACACCCTCATACACATAAACTGAATGTAAAACCCCTACTGTAAGTCACTGCTGTAATTGTCCTGTATCTATTGTCATGTCTTCAGTGTTCTGACCTCAGTCTTGTAAATGTATTGTTTTGTGTTAAACAAAAATACAAGTGTAACAGTATGGCCCACGGATGTGTTTTTAAATGTTTTTGGTCAAATACGGAACTGTGTGGTACACAGGCTTTGGATACACAGACAATATTTGACTGCAGAATCAACTGAGTGTTGGTTTAAAACTTCTCACTGGTTTCTGGTAAAACATTCTTAAAATAAAGTTGAATAAAAATAATACTTTGTAAAACTTAAGTGTTCTACGTACTTTAACTTGGAAAATATTGTAATAATTAAAACACAAAAATAAACATTTCTTTCCATTTCCAGCCATACTTGTGCAATTTTTTCTGGTACGTACAGTTGGATGAAAACCATAATAAGATTAAATAGAAAGAAGCTCCTCTTCTGGAGGCTAAATGAGTTTAAATTACTTCCCCTTGATACAGACACACTAATCTAGACTGACCTACAGGAATACATTATAGGTCTTCCTCTCTGTCAGGATGTCCCCGCAGACTCCCCAACAGAGAGGCTGCTTTTGTCAGGAACTGGCTTTTATCTTCTGCTGATCAGCAGCAAAACAAAGAGAGTGGGTGTGTGTGTGTGTGTGTGTGTGTTTGTGTGTGTGTGTGTTCAAGGAGCTGGAACAAAATCGGTCCATCCCTGCCAGTCAGGCCCCCTCTGCTGCTGATTTCTAACTTGGTTAGTGGCCTCTAATTTGGCCCCTGGAGGGCCCTAATGTTCCCCCCACGAGGGTCTCTGAAAGGGGCCTGGCAGCTTCTACCTCTACATTCACTGCCGACACTCTCATCAGCTTCTGTTTGCAATAATCCAAGGATAAGAGGGCACAGGTAAATATGCAGATCCACACATCATCTCACACACACACGTCAGGCAGAAAACTGTCAACCAGGATGGCACACAGACAACACAGATGCTCAGTGGTAGCAACAAACACGCACACATATATCCCTCGTTCAATTCTGCTGACAGCACAAAGTCACGGAAACAGCTTGGTTTGGCCCACACCGCACTGCACCATACGGGTTACGGTTATGGAGGCTCATTAAAAACATGTAGTGGGAGATGGATTAGTTAAAGCCTGCTGCTGTGGTGGGCGAGCGGCGCTCATGATCAGCGGATTTCTGTGCGTTTTGTCAGCGTTTGTGAGGCAGTGAATAGATTTGCGTGGGAGTCTGAAATATTTCTGAGGGAATTTTTTTTGCCTTCCAACATGTACTGGCGAGTTTTTTAAGATTTTGGCACCAGTTATGGTGCCTGTGTAAAAACATTTGATTGGTTTGGCAATTTTTAAAAGGGAGCAAATATGCGGCTCCGTCAGAAGGGTTGAAGATGAGTTTGGCAAAAAGACAGAGCCAGGAGAATAAGTGTGAGAGTGAGAAGAGAAAGTGAGAAGGCCTTAAAAGGGAAAGAAGTCACAGTGTGCGGGGGAAGGGAAGAGAAAGTGAAAACAAAGGAGGGAAAGAAGAAAAATATGGTTGGGGTCAGTGAACCTCAGGGTGAGGGATAACAGACAGCAGCCCGGCTGCTGCTCGGCCATCCCGGTGGGAGCAGCATGGAATAACAGCACGCTAGGCTCTGATTCACGGCCCATCAGTGGCCATTGCCAAAACGCCTCCACACAAGGACACACACTATGCTTTTGCACACACACACTTGGGAACATGCATTAACACACATAAACACACAAGCCTGCATACAAAGAAAACACACACGCAGAGAGCTAATGGACTGTTATTAAAGACATGCATCACACCACGGCACCTACCGACCACACACAGAGCCACACACACACACACACACACACACATCTGCACATTGCTCACACACACACACACACACACCAACCAATGGGATAATGATCTCCCTGCACTGCAATAACAGCTAATGTATCATTTAGCAAAAAAGCCACAGTGACACGGAGAGGCGACAGCGACGCACTCCCACTCCAGAGCCACAAAAGAAACTCTTCCTCACTGACCTCATTTTTATCACAACATCAGTGACATTTCTCATGAAGGGATTGTTGTGGCTCTCAATAGTCTGTGCACAGGCTTTGTTGCAGTATAAAGGTCTTCAGCACTGGTTGATTGACAGGTGTCATTGCCCTGTGCAGAGGAACAATGCAGCAACAGCAGAAGCAGGTGCTGACCTTTAGCCTCCACCCTACAGGAAAGGCTTCTGTCTAGGGAGCTACTTTTCATTTTTTAGGTTATCTGATCTGATTTGGGTGCAATCTGGTGGGCTATTTGTCAGCTCTGTAACTTGCTAACTGCTTATTTGCTCTGTTTGCTGCCTTTGCAGTCCACTGTAACTGCTGTGAATCAGCAGCAGTTTTGTGAAGGACCAAGCTACTCCTTTTTAGAACCACCTTTTCAAGCCTAGTCAGATTTTTGGTTGAGTACCTTTTTAAAATCCCCAGCCTGAGATCAATGTCTCTGTGCATTTCCTGGAAAACCAATCAATATCTGAGTCTTTTCATAACCTTATTTTTCCACAATCTGAGTGTGGTTTCCCACTTAAAACTATGTTGTCACCTCAAAACACATACTATAGAACAACATACATGAATAATATATGGCCTGGAGGTTCCTCACTTTTAAACACAGAAGATGACAGGAAACAAATGATCTCAGCACATTAACAAAACATACGGCAGATTCTTTTAACCAGTGTGCTTTACAACACCACATGACCCTGGGTGGCCCCACTGGGAATCAGACAGTGTTAGCGCCATGCTCCACTTGTGACCTCATTGACATTGTTTTATTCTGATCTTTATATCCTCCCAGAGCATTTAAATGGTTGCTGTGACTCAGGCTGCCACTTTAGAAAAGGACTTAGATGGGGTGGATGTGCAAATGAACGGAACATGAAAATTTGTCTTCCTTACATGGGCATATAATACTGTATGTGCGTGCAATCGTAGAACTCTTACAGCCCCCTCTTCTCTCTCTGTCTCCTGAATCTTTCTCAGTTATGCTGCAATTCAAGCCTTTTGTTTAATAAACAATTTGTCAGTGATGTATCGAACGCAAGCTCTAATTTGATTGTCTGTGAAATGTGTATGGAGGTGGCTGCCTGCTCTCTCTCCCTCTCTGCCTCTCTGTCTGCAGAACCATCAGTGATATTCTTCCCTTTCTCTCCCCTGCAGGTGTGTGTTTCAGCTGTGTGTGCTCACGTGCATTTGTGTGTTTACTGTGCATGGATGAGGATGGAAGAGCAATCCTTAAGGGTTTGCAATTACATCCAAATGGCATAATCGGACATGATGGATGGCTGTTGCCTTTCCACAGTGTCTAGACCTCTGCTCCACTAGTGCAACAAGGTTATAGGAGAATGTAGAAACGATGAAAGATTTAATAGTTTTGTTCTGCTTTGCTCCCTTTTCATCCTTTGAAATCTCCCTCTAGTGACCCCAGCAACATTTAAACATTTTCATCTCTTCTCTTTTTTAATTTTGCCGGTTTACTGGAGCTCAGGACAGGTTTAGGAATGTCTTGTTTTACATTGTTTTGTGGAATTTGTTTTTCCTCTGGACATGTAGTGCAAGGAAAATCTGTGTTTCCAACATAAAAATTTTTACCAGACTATTTTGGTGATTAAGAGGCTGATGGCTGAAAAGAGACATTTTCAGGATAAAATGATCCGTTGCACATCTTA